AAAAAAAAAAGGGAATCCGTCCCGAATTGCGCGAGATAATATGATCTAACGATTTTTTTTTTTTGCTGCATTATTTATGATCGCCAGTGTATTTAGGATTTGCTGTTTTCGCGGTTTGTTTTGTTACACAAGATCCTTACATGCACAACTTACTACTGATAATAAAAAAAAAACTTTTCTACGTACGTACGTACATACAAAATTTTAGTAATAACTTATATCATATTTGACCTTAACATTATCGCTTTTACATACGTATCATTTAAGTTCCAGTTTCCCCTATGTACTTATACAGTCGTCTCCCATTAATATCAACCTATTTGCATCACTTTTATATTCATGTTAATAGTGATATTAATGAGTGAACATATTAAAGTTGATATATATAAGGGATTGTAATATAATTTTGACACATAGAATTCATTTTGTAGCCTAGGCTGATATTAACGGGGTTGATATTTTAATGAGGGACGACTGTACTTATTTAGCACAACCGAATTCTTACTTTTTTATGTGTGTTATTTTATTTAAAATATTTTTTTGTGAAAAAATTTTTTAAATTGAGTGGTTTAGATCCTATAACATATAAAAATCGAATTCTTTAATGGAACAATTATATGAAAATCGTGACTATACTTCCAATAAACTTTTAATTTAATTTGACGGTAATTATAGCTAATTCTCTCCGGCAATTTAACTTCAAATGTATTATGATATAGGCCACAATCCAATACAATTTGATAGCTTAATCACAAATCAAATTTGCCGTTAAGAAATATAAGTTTGTCATTCATTTTGTGATATTTAAGTACGAGTTACTTTGAATATTAGTGTTGCATTTGAACTATATTTTTTGAACAATTTGTTATGAATACATTCTTCCAAGACACGAATAAAGGCTTTAAAAATATTATTAACTATTAAAAAAAGATTAATTTGAGATCATAAAAAAAAAAAAAATCCAATAATTAGGCGATTTCACAAACTTTTTAAATATTACTGGTTAATCGCCTAAAAAAAAAAAAAAACTTTTAACCAATAAAAAGAAAAACAGCAATTTGTCAAATTAATATTATCGCGTCGCGTCAAACATATCGCCAATAATTCTCAATCCATAAGCGCTTAAAAAAAAGAATATTAATCAACCGCCTAATCACAAAGCCAACAAAAGTGCAAAAAAAAAAAAAAATAGAAAACCAAATGACTTTACCATATGTAACTATATCTCAAAATTACAAGGAAAATGAAGCTTCTAATAAAAGTGATGAAAGACGTCGCGCTCAATCCAAAGAATGTATGCGTAAAAAAAGAAAATCAGAAACTGCAGAAGAGCGTGAAAAACATCTAAAAAGAGAACGTAAGCTGAAACGCCAAAGAAGATTAAAACGTCCCTTGAAGACCATTAATAACCAAAACCAAGATAATAATATACTTTTCTTAGAACTATTTTCTGTTACTATTGAGCAGCAACTTCCTGAATATGACCGAGATCTTCTACAAAATTTTCGTTCTGAAATTAATAAGCTCACAAATAAATTTTGTCCATCCTGTAAAGAGCGTTTTTCATCTATTGAGCTTATAAAAAAAGAGTGCTATCGTTGTTATTATGATAAAGGTGATATAAAAAAATTTTCTAAAGAGAACAATATGGACCCCGGGGAAGTACCTGATGAGCTACAAGGACTTACTGAGATAGAGAAGATGTTAATCACGCAGATTTTTCCTATCATTTCGGTGTATTGTCTTCGTGGGGGTTAATATGCTTACCATGGTAATGTTATCAACTTTCCGCAGGATGTATTAGAGTTCACAACTCGACTTCCTCGAAATCTGTCTTCATTGGATATCCTTATAGTGCGTCATCAGTCTGCCAATAGTTTAGCATTCAAAGATTTCAATGTCCGTCGTGTTAAAGTCATTCGTGCACTAAAATGGTTAAAAGCAAACAATCGTTATTATACTGATATTGTCATTGACGAAGAAATATTACAATCCCTACCTGACAATGGCCCCATTGATGATCTGCTTCCCCGGCTAGAAAATGTGGAAGATGAATACTTTAATAATAACAATGATGAAGCCAAAGACATAATTACCAGCAACTTTGTTCCTGCACCACTTCCATCTCCCAATGAAGAATATGCTATTGCTAATACTTTTAGTCGAATGCAAGATAATAATGCTTCTGTTATATGGCCGAATATAGATGGAAATCCTATTAATGAATTCCGAACACCTGGGTATATTGCATGCGCTTTTCCAACTTTGTATCCAACTGGAGCTGCTGATCTTTGCTCAGACTACATGATAGAAATTAAGCCAGCTGAATATTTCTCACATCTGCTAAAATATAAAGATAGAAGATTTGCACATCATACTCGATGGTGGTATTTTGTATTAAATTCGCAGATGCGTTGGAGAGCACTACAAGAAGGAAGAATATACGTTAAGCAAAGCTTAAGTGGAGAGCAGCTTACTGTTGAGGAAGTTCAAGAAATGGTTAACGGCAATAGTCATATAGCAGATAATATTGTACGATTTGGTGAAAGCTTGTGTGGAACCCGGCAATTCTGGAATAAGAGATGGCTTGAGCTTGCAGACATGATTAAACAGTTAGGATCTCAAGAGATGGTTTTTTTTACTTTCAGTGCTGCTGACTTACATTGGCCAGAACTTCATGAACTTATGTCACAAAACAGAACTTCAGTAACAGAACAGGAGAAGAACAAACAAAAGCGCCAAAACTTAATTGAAAATCCACATATTGCCGCGTGGTTTTTCAAAAAGCGCTTTAAATTATTTTTAGATAAAGTGTTGATTCCTAAGTGGAACCTCGAAGATTGGTGATATCGATTTGAGTAGCAGCATCGTGGTAGCACACATGTGCATGGTATTGGAAAAATAAAAGGTGCACCGGCTATTGAATGAGAAAAAATTAAAGATAATGAGGAGGCAATTAATAATGTTGTGCAATATATAGATACATTAATTACTACAATTAATCCTGGACTTGATGCACCTTTGCCTGATCGCCATCCTTACCAGAAACGCTGTAATGAAATGAATGATGAACTGCAAGATTATATAGATTTGGTTAATAAACTTCAACGACATACACGTTGCAGTTCTGCATATTGCCTTCGAGTAAACCGTGCAGGTGAACAACACTGCAGATTCGGGTATCCAAAGGAAAATATAGAAAAAACATACTTACGCGACAATAATGGCCAACTTGAACTCATTACAGCAAGGAACGATCCTTACATTAATTCACATAACAGACTTCAGCTTCAGGGATAGCACGCGAATGTGAACTTAAAGCCGATTCTCAGTATAAGAACTGCTCTACAGTACATATCTAAATACACAAGTAAATCAGAACCACGATCTGCTGCTTTTTTGGAGATATTAAATCAAATTCTTAATAACAGTAGACCTAGTGATTCATCTCTTGGCGTATTTCAGAAGCTATTACTCCATACTATTGCAGAGCGTGATATTTCAGCTCAGGAAACATGTCACATCCTTTTAGGCATTCCCTTTTACCACTCCAGTCGTCGGTTTATTACTTTAAATCTCAACAAAGAAGCTCCACGGTGGCTTTGCAGCTCTGGAAATGAGAATGAAGCAAGTTATTCAGCAAATGGAGAGATTGGGCAAACTATACGTTCACCTCTACAGAAGTATTGGGATCGACCCGCTGAGTTTGAGGATCTTTCTCTCTTTCAGCTTTATCTAAGATACATTTTTTGGAACAGTCAATGGAAACAATGCGACCATGAAAACATAGTGTGTATTTGGCCACACCCACCTCTCCAACGTAATGGTCCTCAATGGGAAGAATATTGTCGAGTTAAAGTTCTGCTCCATGTTCGGCATTGAGATCTTAATCAATTAACTGAAAATGATACTGCTTCATGGTCAAATATCTTTATCAAGTACTATACAGAGATAGAAAATGTGCATGACTTGCTTGGCCCCCCTGTAGAAAACTTAGAAAACGAGGTTGTTAATGAAGAAAGTGACGATGAACAGGAGAATGATGAATATAAGAGAGAAATACGGCGTGAGTGGATGATCTTATTAGAGATGGGACCAAATACAATTATTGAGAGCTCTTTTGATTTGGGATTACGTGACATTGATCAGAATTACGATTGGGTTAGAGATGTCATTCAACGCAGACATGGCTAATTTTATACAACAAGCGCGCACTTTGAACACTATTAATGAAGAGAACTTGGTTACTAATTATGCTGTAGATAGTTATACATTAAATGAGAAACAGATGGTAATATTTAAACGAATTGAGTCTCATTATAGTAATTTGATCATAAATCATAACCAAATTGAACCACTCAGACTTATCATAATGGGGACTGCGGGAACAGGAAAATCGCACTTAATCAAAACTATCAGAAATCGTCTTCAAGAAATGGCAAGGATTAATGATACCAGTGCCAAATCTCCAGTGCTTGTATTTGCGCCAACTAGTGTTGCGGCATTCAACATTCATGGTACAACAATCCATTCAGCACTTTCCATCCCGATAGGAAGTGCCAATATCGATTTAGACGGCGAATGGCTAAAACAACTTCAGAGAAGATTAGATGGCGTGTACTATTTTGTCATTGACGAAAAAAACATGGTTGGCCGTCGAATGCTTGTCTTAGTTGACATTTGACTGCGCCAAGCATTCTCTGAACATAAAGACCAGTCTTTTGGCAACCGATCAGTCATTCTAGTTGGTGATTTTGGTCAACTTCCCCCAGTGCTTGATGAACCTATTTATTCTCAAATCTCTCGATGTGATGCATTATCAAACGATGGTATGGTTACATATAAACAATTTCATGAGGTTATAAGCTTGATATAGTTCAGCATCAATCAGGAGATTCAGAAAAACAACGTAATTTCTGAGAAATCCTGTTGCGATTGCGTGATGGTAAATCTACGATGGCCGATTGGAAAGTACTTGCTGCACGATTTGTTGATTCACTGACTATATTACCTCTGGAACATAAACAATTCACCGATGCTATATACATCTATCCTTGAAAGGTTAATGTTGATGAATTAAACATCGACAAGCTTAAAACTTTGAATTGCCCTATTGCTAGAATTAATACAATTCATTCAGGTGGCAGTGAAGCACGTAAAGCTAATTCTAACATAGCAAAAGGCCTTGAAGTACAATTATTATTAGCAAGAGGTGCACATGTTATGCTCAGGGCCAATTTATGGACAGAAGTAGGATTAGTAAATGGTTCAATAGGCATTGTTCAAGAAATTATATTTGAAGAAAATCAAAGTCCACTCTCTCTTCCTATTGCAGTTCTAATAGAATTTGACAATTATACTGGTCCCACTATTATGACTGCAGAAGGTAAAAAACTTGTCCCGATTCCACCTATAAGACATACCTGGGAAGGGACCAAAGGAACTTGCTCACGAATACAAATTTCTATTATCCTCGCATGGGCCATTACTGTACATAAGAGCCAGGGATTAACATTAGAAAAGGCTATAATAGATCTTGGAAAAAAAGAATATGCTGCTGGTATTTCATTTGTGGCGATTTCAAGGATTTGTGCTCTCAGAAAAGTACTTTTTAGACCATTTTCACTTGATAGACTTCAACGCATAAAACATTGCAAAAGACTACAAGAAAGGTTGGCTGAAGAAAGACGGTTAAGCTCAATGATTCCTCAAAATGAGCCTATGCGATATTGAAAATTTTTAATTTAATAAATAGTTAGTTCTTTGAGAATAAAAAGATAAAGCACAAGAAATTTGACTGCTTACCTTGCTTTGAAATATTTTCTCAAATAATGATTTTAGTAATACTAACCTTAAGTTTCATTGGAAAGAAGTTTGATCTCGTATTAGCTTTTTATAGAATCGCAATGCACTATTTTTACCAATTTGCAAACAAAAAAATATTTGAATATGTAGTGTGAGTCGATCATGTGGGCAGATCTCATGATCCACAAATCAGATTTCAAGGATCAGGTGTAACGTAACACGATCAGAAAATCATTCTCAAAATCTTGCTTTAACAAAAAGTTTTCCTTGATCAATTTTACAATAATTTCTAGCCTTATTCTAAACGCTAACCTTAACATTAATAAACTTTAAAAAATTTTGCTGCGTCACAGTAATC